AACCATTGATTAAATAAACCTAAAACAACTCATTGTAAATAAAAAAATCGATATATATAAACTTCCTTTTATACATTCCCCATCTCATCCAAAGTGCAATTACTTGAAGCGACCTGCACAAAAATTGCAATAAAAACTTTGGCAAATATTTTATGGCAGAGACAAAGCTCGCCTCCGTCTAACCCGGCTCCACATTCTATGGCATTTCGTGTTGGTGTTTCTGTATTTATTTGCCATTTGCCAGAGACTTGTTTCATATTTATCAACGTCTGTGGCAAATAATTTTATTAACTTTGCGCAAAACTTCAGCAGAGACCCCGACGAGAGCGGAGAAAGGCAGACGGACTGTGAACTGTTCGCGAAAAGTTGCAGTAGGTACAGTTTCGTTACCTTTTCTAAGGCGCAACAGAGAGAGATAGAGAGAGAGGGGTTTACCAGGGGTCAGACACTGGAGCAGGGACAACTTTGCAATACTGCTGCAGCACTATCTGGAGCGCATATTTTATTATTATCCTTTCGCACAAATAAATATACTTTTGCGCAAATTACAAAAGAGAGTGCAGCTAACTGGCGACTTTAAGTTGGAAAGGCAACTACTATATCTATGACCGTGTCCCCAGCTCCGGCTCCTGCTCCTGCTCCTCCGTTTACTGGACTGTGCGACAAAAAACTTTCGTCCAGATCTAATCAAAAATTCACTTAAAAAGTTTGCACTGCCAGAGTACGGGTGGGCTGAATGACTTCAAGTGCAACCTTCGTTGGCTGGGGCATTGTTGCAGCTCCTTTGTTGCATGCTGCCGAGGGCAGCCAAAAGGACTTTCTCGGCAGGCACTTAATGAAATCTTTCCTGGGCCTGCAAAGGGGTTCAAGTAAATAAAGCAGAGACCAGCAGAGTCTGGGCAAAGAATGCCCATAACATCAACTTCAAATATGAAGGCTCTAAAGATTTTTGTTAATTAATAAACTAAGATATATATATTCAATAAATAGTGTTCATTAAGTAAGCACTTTGGCAAATAGTAATCCCCTTTTTCACTTAATGTACCATTAAAATCCAGTGACCGTTTTAACACTCTCCTGATGGACGTGGGAGGCACTCAACAGAGCTTAAGGCAAATCCTTAACCACAACAAGGACTCCACCACTTTGATTGCAGTGACTGGATTTCTTCAATGCAAATTGCTGCACAATCAATGACAATCGACAACAATGCAGCTCCAACAGCAGCTGGAAAATCATTTAAAATCCTTAAAACTCCGCTGCTCAGTGAGTGACACAAATTAAGTGTCAATTTTAATATCCCGAATGCATCGAAAATAAACCAGCAAATTGAGCAGCCAGCGGAGTGCGGATTTTGTCCTCATCTTCTGGGCACAACAATAGCACCACTCCCCCCCCCCCACCGGAACTCGGAACACTCAACTCCCAATTCTGCTTCCCTATATTTTTTTTTTGTGTTGCTCCTGCACAAATTGCATAAAAAATGTTGCGCACACTTATAAAAAATTTTCAAGTGCAGTGCCAAAGTCGTCGCCCCCACGACTGAAGGTGAAGGAGGCCGACCGTCGTCGTCTGGCGGGATTTTCGCTCATTTTTTGTTTTTGTACTTTTTGCTTGACTTAAATTTGCACAAAATTGCAAATAACTTGCAATCAAGGTGCAAGGAGTGAAGGAAAGTAACTCCAAGAGTCACAACAAAATGGCGATACGCCCGAGTTGAGTTTCATTTCGCTGGGACCGTCTGGGAATCAATTTAAGTTAACTCTCGAGTCTATTGTTTCAACGCTGTTCTGCCCGCTTTAAGCTCTCTCCCAGCCACGGATCCCTGCTCCGCCAGTGGTGTCCTCCCGAGCTTTTGTCGTCAGCCGAGGAATTTTTATGAGCTGCCTTGCCGGCGTCCTTTTGGCATTTGGCTTTTCCGTCGCGCCAACTTTAGACCCCCGACTGCCGCTTGTTAATATTTCACCTAGATTGATACTGCAAAAAAAATGGGAGTGGGATTCAGGGTTCCGGGTGTTCGCTATACTCAGCCAAGTGGCTTCGTCCCAGGCACAAAGCAGCTAGGAATTTCATTATATGCACCCCAAGCCAAAGGACAAAGACATGTTTTTAATAGTTTCGCATGTTTGTGCAGCCGGGCTTTGTTTTCATTTTTTGCTAACCCCACCCGGTTGGAGGAAGGTGCTCTTCCTTTGCTGGCTTTTAGGTTGCGATTGTGCCCGTAGTTTGTGCAAAGTTTGGCCAGATTTTTGTGCTTGCATTTTGAATAGTTGCATTTTTAAGCAGTTTCTGCTACAGAGAACAACTTGTGCCAGGCCTGCCACAGCTTAATCGTAATGAGTAAGGGAAAGGATGGGGGCTTTTGAAACTATCTGCAGCAGAAATCAGTAAGGGATACTGCTGAGACTGATTGAAATACAAATTTATAGAGATTTCCTAGCTATTTTTGTTAAATATACTCCCCTATACAGATGTTATTGGTATATCTAAAATATATTCTTAAGTTCCATTTAAATTCCACTCATAACTCTCCTACTAGATTTAACCCTTCTTATTATATATTCAAATACCCTTAAAAATTGAACTTCAATAAAAGAGAAAAGAAACCTTATTTATGATCACAATTCGAGGGCGTAACTCAATCGAAATTGAAACCTTGTTTCACATCTATTAAGAGCAAATGTCAAAATTAATTGGAACACGTACGCTGGCACTGGCCGGGGCTCACTTGTTGGCTCCGTTTAACCCTTCTCCTTTCGATTTGCCACATTAACTTTCCTTTTCCTCTGGCTTTTCTCCGACTTGATTTTCCCTTTCCTTAACCCATTCCCCTCTGGTTTTGTGTGCCTTTTTTTGGGAGCAATGCTAGAACGGATACTTTTGCAGAGTCATCGCATGATTACGTGGATTCTGGTGCCCGAGTAATCATCATGTGGTTCAAACACACAGACACGCACTGCTCGGGGTCTTTCCTCCCCGGAATCCCAGAATCGTTCAGATCCCATTACCTAAAGCCATCCGTTGGAGGAGAGGCACGGACAGAAAAGCTGGATCGGTGGCAGGAGCCGGACACAATTATCCGGCGAAAAGGGCTTTCAATTTCACTTGGTTAGCTGCAAGTAAACAGCTTTGCAGCTTCTCGTTCCGTTCGATTTCGGTGGCGCTCAAGTCAAGCATGCAACCGCCGCAGGCGGCACGCAAACGCATCGAATCAACGAAAGTGCCCCGAATCGACTGGATGGTGGTCCACTCTAAGCCACCCTAGAGTCACGGACTCACGGACTTATGGACCCTCTTCAGCCCCAGCTCATTTCACCACGGTTTGCACTTCATTGATTCGTTCAACAATGGAGGCAATTGAATGAGAAATGGAACAGGCAAAGAAAATCTACAGAGGTTCCTAAATATTGCAAAATAAATAAGTTTAAATTTAAAACATTTTACTAAACTACTAAAAACTATGTTTGGTTAAGATATTAGTTACTTTTCTGAAGAGTCATGTATAATAAAAATATATTATAATGTAATTTAGTTCAGGAGAAACCTATATCTACTTCAATGAAGTCATAGAGACCTGATTTAAAAGTGGCTTCAAGTCTTTTAAAAATAAAAACAACCAATCGAAAAGTTTCATGACAATTTTCAACACAAGCATCTGTATTTTCCCTCCGTGTACCTGAAGCCCAACATTGCTTCAAGCTGCACTTTAAACATTTTTCATTCGCTGTATTTTCCAGCCACTTGCATTGGGTTTATGAAAATGAAAATTGCAAGGAAAATCAAGCAACGAAAAAATTCTTTGGCCCCAGCTTTTGGCCATATTTTGTGGTATTTTTCTTTGCAATTTTTGAGCTTCGTAATTGCACTTGTATGAGCTTATTGGGGCATACGGCCCCTAAAAACCCATTTCTCCCTCTGGACCAGTCAGAAACTTCAAAGATTCTCGATTCTCTCTGCATCACCCCGCTCTATATGAGTTTGCTTGATTTAATCAGAATACAAAGGGAGGAATCGAAAACAGGTAAAAGAATGGAAACACAGGTCCTAAACTAGAAATCGAAAATCGGACAGAAATTATGAAAAATAGCTCTGAATGATTAGGTAAAAAAAAATATACTTAAGGTGCTATTTATTACCATGTAGATGACTTTGTGTGCTGCAAGGGGTAAGTGTGTGTTCCAGGTTGCACTTTAACGAAGTTGCTGTCCAGAAATAAGGGCTCGTAGCCCTGAAATCTGCAAAAGTCTTTATGAATACCAGGTCACAATACAAAGACACTTACGGGACAGACACTTCATGATGGGAAAGTTGTTTTTAGCAAAGATCCCAACCTGAAACTAGATCATACAACTAGAATCCTGTTCCTCCGATGCCATGGACTACCTTCAAGGCTTCCAGCTTGAATACACGCCTACACTGCTGGAGATGACCGAATCCAACCTGGGGAGTGAAGCGAGCTTATAGTATATTGAAACTCAACTTACTGGGAAGGTATTGTTACACCATTGAGCTAGTGGCACGTGCATTTTATGCCTGCAAGATACCGCGTGGCACAACCCCCACGCATCAAAATCTCTAAAGAATAACAGGTACTCGCCTGCAACTACTGACCAATAGGATCAATTTTCAGGCAGCTCAAGGATATGACAATGCCTTCCTAGTAAGTCGCTTTTCATTCCGTAAAAACTCTGCTTCACTCACCTAAAATATAGAATTCACGTGCAACAAACTTAACTGGAGGAAAGAACACCCAAGTATCAACATATATCGATAGTACCTAGGGTTGGTAAACAGACAGCCCAAGACAAAGTGTTGTAGTAGAAATCGTAAGAGAAAACATCGATATATTGATGTTGGGATTATGTTTTTCCATCTCTAGTTAAAGTTTCAAGAAAGTAACAAGTTCTACTGACGATTGTTGTGAAATCAAATAGGAAAAACAAACATAACCCGCTTTTCTTACATTTTATCTAAAGGGGAATGAAACAGCAAGGCAGCCCTACTAAGCAGAACTTTTAATTTCACTCAAACATAAATACAAATCCCTTATCAGCGCAATGAGAGAGCTAGAAAAGAGCAGTAACAGCTCGGAAAACCAAGTGGAACTGGACAACTAAACGTAAATAATGAAAACTAACTTAGTTACAGCGTGGAAACATTGGGAAAAGGCTATGATTCCTAGGTACATTCTATTTTACTTACATTTATTATATTATTTATTTATATTTCTAATTTGCTCTTCATGAGTTTTCCTTTCTAAACTACAAGATAAGGAAGCTCAGCTGTGATTCGCTCTGAATGAATTCATGCAAAGCCATCCACTGATGAAGAGCAAACAACGATAAGAGCTTGTGATGATTGTAAACCATTCTGACTGCTCATTATTATAATTAGAAAGCTAACTAAGAGTTTGCTTGCGGAAGCTGAGGCACCACAGCATTGCTATTAAACCTAGTAGGACAGCTAGAGGAGCCTGGCTAGGAGCTGATCCGTTGCATCTGTCCGGCATCTGCTCTTCCCAAGCGATCTGGTCGGAAACGTTGTATGTATTCGCCACATACTGGATGACATCGCGTGCCTGCTGGCTAATCTCCGGTACTCGTGAGAATAACTTGAAGAGCGGAATGGGCAAGATGCTACTGAAGCCACATAGGAGTGCCACCGATGTGTAATTAACATACACCATCTTGTATGTGACAGTGGCGATATCGTAGTCCAGATTGAAGCGGCCATGCTGGGTGTCATTGTTCCAGGAAAAGCTGATGGACTCGTTGTTGAACTGACGATCGTCGTTGACCGTGCTGATGTAGTTGAGGTCCAGCGAAAGTTTGTCGTTCTTGGTCTCGGCAGGAACCGAGACATTTAAACACGCCAGCACATCGACATTGGGCACTCGGGCAACCTCGTACCAGTAACCAGAGAGCTGGAAAAGAACAGGTAATATTAATCTGCTCAATAATGAACTCTAATGAATTCCTATTTGCTACTCACATCCGTCAGATTGATGCTGAAGCCGCCTATGTTTTCATTCTGACATCTCCAGCTTTGTGGAACTCTGGGCATCATCCTGCTCAGCAAGCGACTCGCTCCGACCTCCACTTGGTTTCCGCAGCAGCAGCAGAGGGCGAGCAACAGCGTCCAGATTAGTGAGTGACCCTCCATTTCGATCCGTTCGCATCGGCGAGCTCCAGACAACTAAACTCGGTCTCGGTCACACATAGACTTTTGATACACTAATGACGAACTTATCAGCCGCTATGAATTGTTAATGAATATAATATAGTAAACAGGCAGGCATACAATCGATACTTTATATGAGTGACTCACCAGCGTTGATAATACTTACATTCTTATCATTCAATCTTATCGAATTTTTGCACGTGCAATTAGTTATCGTTTTTTCATTAAACACATGAAAATAGTTGGTATTTGTAACGCACACACTTGTATTTAAAAAGACTAAAGACTTTTGTTTATGTGTGATGTAGGTGTACAGATGAAATAGTGTCAAAAATGTAATGCACTCCATGCACCTTTTAATCACACAACCGATTTTACAGATACCTCTCAGATCCCCAAGAAACAAGCAAAATATTGTTGTTTATCTGTTCTCTAAACCTTTTGTAATGAGAGGAACTCTGTCAATTAAGCCCAAGTGTCGAAATTATCTTCGAGATATCTTATCCAAAAGGTAAGGTGTTTGGTACGGGCTGAGGTCTTATCTTTCACAGATATGCAAAATAGTAGATACGAATATTTGGCAATAATGTTCATTTCAACCAGTAAGACAATAATATAAATAAATATGTATATATGTTTATAGTCAGTTTAAAAGAAATATGTTACTGTGGTACTATCAAAAAGTTGTTCCAAAAATATGAAACTTACCAATCCAATTTGATGGTGGGGAGGAAGAAGCCAAAATCGCTTCGAAGTCAAAAGTTTGGTGATGAACGAGTTGCAGAGCTGCTTGTAAAAATCACATGAAATTCGATTGTCGCTTAAAGTGAAATTGCACAATGTTTGCAATGAAATGTTGTCGCAGTAAAATATCGCTGCAGTCTCCAGCTTTCCTTTACTCTCCCTGCTGCAGTTGCACTTCCTTTCCAGATCCTGGCGCTGCTGAAATGACGAAGATAAAAACGCAATCAAACAACAAAAAAAGAGACAAAAATGGCAACGGCATCTGTTTGTATAGATGCCATTGTGTGTGCCACCGAATGTGCAGTGTGAGTAAATGCACTCGAGCACGCACATCCAAGGGATTCCAAGTTATTACATTAATTCGAAGATGCCAATACCCTCGGACTTGTAGTCCCCTAGGAAACGGTATTTATTGAAAAATTTAAAAATTGACTTTACTGTTTACTGGGTTAATGGCTATATCCTGATAAGATAAAGAAACAGGTGTACATCGAGCAGACAGCGCTTTCCTCGAATCCTTTGCTTCAATCAGTTATGATCTTTCTTATCGTAATCACAAGCTGATAACTTTTATAAGCCTTAAGGAAGGTGTGACTCATTGAAATACATAGTCTGCCTAAGGTTTTGTCGTACAAATTTGTTACCTGATAAAATAGTTTCGCACGCGGCCGTATATTATACGGTTGATTATCGAAAGTTAAAAAAATTTAAGGTTATTGATGCTCAAGCTGCAATTTTTGAGTGAAAGCATGATGTAGATATTAAAAAGTATTCCCTAAAATTATAACATGAGCTGTTCTTAATTAATTTGTTACTAAAATCATTTAATTACAGCTGAATAAGTGGTTGAATTGCGTTCTTTTCCTGATTAGATATTGCTTTTACCCTGAGATAAATAGTGTTTTGATAACCGACCATTTCTGTGTACTATATATTTCCGATTCTATAAATGTCAAGGATAACCCCAAGTGCTGTCGATAATTTAACGGAATCGTGCACTCCCGTTAGTTTACAGGGCACTTGCAAATGGATAACAGTGCATTGACATCGATTGCCGCTGCAGCGATGGCAACTTAACTGTGTTAAAGAGTTGTCATTGTGCTGTTTGCAGAGTTGTCGCTCGTGCGATGGACCTCGTGTGTGCACTGGCTTTTGTAACAGTAAAGATATTGCAACTGCAACGTGTTGAAGTGGCGCCTCGGTAAAATTGTGTCAAACTGTGATTGCATTTTTGTGACTGACATTCGATTGCTGTGGCTGTTTGATTTTTGGCAACTCTCACTAACTCTTAGTATCTGTCGCCGCCTTCTGTGTCTGTCGGGGGGCGTGGCCCGCTTTAAGCACTGTTGCCTGTCAAATTAGCTGGCAAACTTTGGAAAATCTAACGTTTCATTCCACGCGATCGTTTGTCGTGACGGAAAATTACTTGGCTGAAGACAACTTTGGCATTATGAGTAAGTGAGAATCAAAATGCATAAAATATAAAAATGTTATTAATTTTACACTTACCGATTTACTCATTTCCATTTTTTCTATTTCGTCTCTTTCTTGTTGCATTGAAAATTATATTACACACTGCACACATCCAATTCTGGCCACTCGCGAAATTTTACTTCTTTTCTTTCCACTCGCCACTCTCGAAATTTTATTTCTTTTCTTTCCACTCGCCACTCGCGAAATTTTACTTTTTTCCTTTCCTTCTTTTTCTTAACTCGCAGAATTATTTAAACACTTAAAAAAAAAACACAACAAAAAAAAAACATTTACTTCTGCTTTGACAATAATAAATGGGAAGAAAGAGAAAGAACTGTAAAATTGCACACACGAATAACACACACTTGATCTCTGGCATATTTAATCAGCACTGCACTTTTACATATATGTACATATTAAAATTTAATGTTTTAAAAACGGTTAATTTAATACATTTCTACCGCACGGAAACATTTATTTGCATTTTTCTTTTTAGAAAGGTTTCTTGCCATGTACACACATTACACGTATGCATGAACTCCATCACACACATACATACATATATAACGGGGGCTTCTGCGGCCGCCGTTGTCCGCGGGAGTCTCAACTATTATTAGTGGAGTGTTAGTGGCTATAATTATCCACTGAATCGATATTCACTAAGTAACTGTCTTTATAATGTCTTTTTCATCACTTATGTGGTTATTTATTAGTTTCACTAGGGCATTTTCACAATTTTCTGATTTTTTTCTCACTCACTTTCCCGCCCTTACAGTTGCAATTGGCGGGACAAACAGCGCTCACATCATATTTAGGTAAATTCTTTAAACCTCCAGTTGTTTAGCACTTATTTCAATGTCCCCGCATAAAATGCACTTAGTTTAACTGATTTAATTATTTTGTTGGTATTAATAAACGTTTTTTTCGGACAAATAACGTTCTTAAGCAGCAGCGCCCACAATTTTTACTTTGATCTGTTCTTCTTTTCGTTTTACACTCTCGCTTTCTCCCCACTCTAAATCTTACCATGCAATGGCAAATTGGCAAAGAGAGCGAGAGAACAAGAGAACAAGAAGGTGAAGATCAAATTGCCAAAGTGCAAAGTTAAGTTGGGTGTGCTTGCTGCGGCTGCTGCTGAAAAACTATTATTGTCCGAAAAAAACGTGTGATAATTCCTACAAAACAATTAATTCATTACAAAACAATTTGTTGATTCAAGCAAAGTGTGTTTTATACTGGAACACTCAAATTAAGCACTGATAATGTGAATTTCTCCGCATTAAACAGAATGTACAAACATATTTACATACGCACATATGTACACATGTATGTATGTATGTGGTGTGTTGCTTACGATTGGAAACAACGGAATGATCGAAATGAGCTAAGGCCAAAGTGAATGGTTGTCCGTACTTACTTAATAAATAACTACGTTATAAGAACATACATATTCAAAATAGATATTTGGCGAATGAAAGTGCAATTTAACAACAAACACACTTGATACTCCAGTGGACCATGTAAGCAAGGTGCACCCGCTAATTCTAATCAGATGTTCTCTCGCCAATTAGTGTCAAACCATAAACACCCTATGCAAGTGTGGAGTGAGAGAGTGAGCGAGAGCGGGAGCGGGAGAATAAGAAACAAATGCAAAGTAAAAGCAAAGTGACAAAGTGAAAAATTGTGGCTGCTGCTGCTTAAGAACGTTTTAAGTTGGAAAAAACATTGATTAATACCTACAAAATAATAAAATCAGTTAAACTTAGTGCATTTTATGCGGAGACATTGAAATAAGCACTAAACAAGTGGAGTTTTAAAGAAATTTACGTAAATGTGAAGTGAGCGCTGTTTGTCCCGCCAATTGCAACTGTAAGAGCGGGAAAGGGAGTGAGAAAACAATAGCAAATTGTGAAAAAGCCAAAGAGAACCTAATAAATAACCACATAAGTGATTGAAAAGACATTATAAAGACAGTTACTTAGTGAATATCGATTCAGTGGATAATTAAAGCCACTAGAAGTACAATAATAATAGTTGAGACTCCCGCGGACAACGGCACGCCGCAGCAGCCCCCATCATGTATGTATGCATGTGTGTGCTGGAGCCCATGTATATTTGTGTGTGTGCGTGGGCATGGCAAGAAACCTTTATAAAAAGGAAAATGCCAACAGCAAATGTAAATAAAAAGTGCGTGGATAAACCAAGCGAACATAAAAGTGCAGTGATGATTAAATGTGCGAGATATCGATGTTGTGTTATTCGTTTGTGTAATTTCACAGTTCTTTCCATTCCTTTCTATTTCTTGTTGTCAACGCAGAAGCAAATATATATATTTATTTTTTATTATTTTTTTGTGTTTATTTTGTTTTTTTTGTTTTGTTTTTTTTTTTAGTGAGTGTTTTTTTTTCTTTTTTTTTAAGTGTTTATTTATTAAATTATTCTATGAGTTAAGAAAGGAAACGGAAGGAAAGAGCTGAAATTTCGCGAGTGGATAAAATTAAGTGTGTGCGGGGTGAAAATTAATTTCCCATTCAATGAAAATAGGCTAAGAAGACCAAAGAAAACAAAATGAAGAAATCGGTAAGTGAACATTTAATTTATTATTTTCTATTAAATACGTTCCTATTTCCTTTTACACATGATGCAAAAATTATGTTATTTGGCCCACGATATTTGTAAATTTGTATAGTTTTTCACAGGAAATGTGGGATATTCAATGTTTGTATTGATTTTTTATATACAGTTTTCTATTCCCCTTTAATATTTATATTATTTTGAACCAAATATTGACAAAAAAAATATGCAAAATATTAAAATTATTAAAAACTGAACAGAATATGGTGAAATCTAAGGTTACTTAGTATTCTAAGAAATCCCCCGAGTGTTATTTAGTTGTTTGTCTGATCGCACTTGAGTTATTTACT